ATAGTGACCGTCGGACCGGCCGTCGAGTTAGGTAACCTCAGGGGGAATTAACCACAATTAGCCGGAGTTAGCTGCTCCTAAAAGTCTGGCTAGGAGATGAAATATCTGACACCAACAGATGGTGTGCAAATCTCCAGTCAGTAAGTCTGCTTGGTCAGTCTTATCTCTGTACCTTAACACTTAACGTCTGGGAAAAAGTTTTAGTGTGTGATATCGCCAACATCCCAGGAGAATTAAATGCTTGTTTATTTCGCCTACTTAGATTAAGGGTGTATCCAAATCCCTATTTTCCTGTATACTTTCAAAATACAAAGAAATAAAAGTAGGTTAAGGAAAGACCTTCTGAAGTCACCGAGCGTATTGTCACAACACCCACCACCGCCAACGAGCGTAAAAATACATCTTTAACGATTCTCACGAACCGTAGCGCATTCGGCACTTTCCCATTCAGTACTTCTTCAGTACACACGGGCGTCTGTGGCACCCGAGCTACCCACAACAACAACACATCCCACAAACAACAATCTTCACAGAAAAGAGATGTGCAAAAGGAAGTTGCGCACTTTCGCCTGGGACACAGTGTGTCCACCGCGTCGAACTAACGTAACGCGAACTAGTTTTTGGCACGGTGTGTATAGACATCGAAGGAAAGCATCTCATAACACCTCTAGAATATAGGACAGTCGCTGGAACCGCCGCGAAATCTTGCATACGAACTAGTAGTATCAACTTTTTTGCTTCATTTATTTCATTATTACTGTAGTATGTACCTGACTAGGTACAGCGAAATATGCCTGGCAATATAGAATCTATTGATTGTATCTCCTTTGTTTAGATAAAATATAGGTCTAGTACCATATAACCAGTACACATAATGGCTTTCGAAAAATGTATCGTTACTTTGATTGGTCCAATAACAGTATTAAATATGCCAGATTTTACAGTCTGACCTTCCACAGACAAAAAAAAAAAAAAAAAATAGCGACATAATATTGACCCACGTTCTAACTTTAAATTAATTTAGAAAGCCGAGAAATAAAAGTCACGCAGAAGCCAATTACAATAATAGAGACTAACACTGTGCTTGAAAATAAGGATTAAGTACATAATAAAAATGCTATTAATAATCCTAAAGGGAAGTAAGCCAACGATTATTGTATTTTACTGTCAGTGACATCAAGAAAATGACATTGGCATGGCTGTCAGGGGAGCCTTGTTGGAGTCCGTGTAAAATAATGACTTTAGCCTGTACATGCTAGACCAATACTGGGGTAAGGAAACGGACTCCCCCCCCCCCCACCCCCCATGAACTGATGTTTCCATGGCTTAATCGGAGTCTTAAATTCAGGCATAAGCTAACTAGGCTACAGCAGGTTTCATAATTTCATATATAACACACCTGTACACTTCCCGCCCTTTTTAGGATTACATTTTTCGTTATTTGAAGCCCTACTCTGGCTATTGCCAGAGGCCGCAATATAGCCTGGCCAAAATATGGCCTAATGACTGAATGCGTTTTTTTTTTTTTTTAAGTTTAGAACTAAAAGTTGTATTTTCTGTGATGCCAGTGAAATGATGCAGCCTAGAACATGATCATCTGGCCCTTTCTCTTCTTATCACCTCCTAACTCGAAGTGTTTGCATCGCTTGATGGGAAGCTGTTTTCTGTATTTGCATTCTGTACATTCCATACGCAGCACAATCTTTTTTGTGGTCTTGGCCTTCTTTCTGAACACAGGCTTAGACTGCCCACCGTAACCACTCTGTTTCCGGTCGTAACGTCTTTTACCTTGTGCGTACAGTGATGCTTTCCCTGCCTTGTACTGTGTCACTTTGTGGACTGTGTGCTTGTTGCATTTTTTGCCCTTGCAAAATGTGCGGCGCTGTTTCGGAACATTCACCATGGTTAAATTCACCTATGAAAAGGAAATCCATATAATAGCACATTGTGTCATCGGGTGTTTATCGCTTGTGTGATGTCCTGGTGGGGTAGACAGTCAGTCAGTCAATTTCATATATTCCTCTCGTTCGCATATGACATTTTATTTTACAATTACATGAATACATACACCCACATACATGCATACATACATACACACACATACATACATACACACATTTATACATACACTCAAATCTTTACACACATGCATACATACCTAAATACACACACATACTTACAAAGCTAAATATGCACACATACATCCACCAACATGCATACACACACACATAGATACATACATACAAGCATACATACATGCCCACACACATTACATACATACACACACATGCATGCATACACATCTATACAATCACCCATACAGATATTACATACACACATGCATACCTGTATACTTGACAAGATTATATGATATTTTTTCTGTGATTTTGCTCCATCAAGTACCGTCGGTACCAATGTCAGACGCAGTTTTGTTGAAGTTTTAAAGCCCCACCGTGGCTGTTGCCAGAGGCCCTAATATAATATAGAAAAATTGGTTGAACGGGGTTTCTGGCACCTGTCCCCGGGTGATCCTCATCCGAATGGTGGTACTTTGTAACAACGGGTGTATATCACTTGTAAAATGTCAGTCAGTTTCACATTTTTTGTTCACATATGCATTGTTCGTTTAATGGAGCCCTTCTTCTTCTTCTTCTTCCCTTCCACCTTGTACCTCAGTGAAGTGTCGGGAGGGATTGGGGTTGGAAGGGGGGGGGGGGGGGGGGTTTAAGGTGTAACGTTCGTTAATGAGCTCTGTCAAGAGCACTATAAAGATTGATGTTCATTTCTGTAAGGCTGTTCCTAATGTCATCATTCCATGTTTTCCGAGGTCTTCCTCTCACTCTATACCCGATGTAACGTTTCAGTGTGGCTCGCTGTGGCAGATAGTACCAGGGCATTTTTGTTAGATGTCCAAACCACTTTATTTGTTGTTATTTGATGACCTGTAGGACTAGTGTTATACCTAGCATTCGTGTGATTTAGTGATTTCGTGTACTGTCTTTCTTTGAAACTTCTGCAGCTCTTGTAAGGCATTTCCTCTCTGCTGTCACAATTTTACGTTCATTAGAGGATGTAAGTTTCCACGTTTGCCACTGATAGCATAGTGTTGACCCCCCCCCCCCCAGCCCCCCCCCCCCAAAAAAGAGTGGATAAAATTCATTTTAGTATTCCGGGGTATCTGCTTGTGTGTCTGATACCCCGGAGTACTGAATACAGCCTTTAACAGGATTATTTATTAAATTTTCTGTGATATTGCAGACACGTTCTTTATTACTTCTTTTACTAAAAAAACAAACAAAATCAATATATTTCCATGATATTTTCAAAAAGCGTACACATTTTTACCGTTTACTGAGATTGGCTGGTGTCATTTACAACAACGACTGACTCATCAAGTTTACACCCTGCTTGAATATTACAATTGACAAAAAGGTGCCAAATAAATATACGGGGGGGGGGGGGGGGGGGGGGGGGGGGTGGGGTGGGGAACCCACTATCATGACGTTTTTTTTTTTTAGTATCCAGAAGCCATGAGGTGTCAACCCTTAGGCTCAGTAATATGGATATCGCAACCCTCCGGCCTTGATTCCATGAGTTCGTCACCCGGTCACCGCGCAATCCGGTGTAGCCAACTACGCTAGCGAGACGGGCATCATGACGTTTAACTCTACATATCACACAAGCCCACACAACGACGTACATTAGGGTCTAGCCTTTTGACTATCGCTCTATAAATTGTGGGTTCGTCAAACGGCTGCGTCGTTAAGTTCGGTTCGGTTTCAGACGAATGAGAATAATTCCGCCCAACTGACAGATGTAAAATTATCAATAATAATTGCAATAACAGTCAATAACAACAAATTATTACTGCTATAATGACGTACGTAATTAAATACAAAGCGTAATTTGATACTCCCAAATGAGACGATTGTTTTGTTTTTGTTTTGGTCTAACATATTTACTAGGAGTAGACTACCCGAATATTTCAACAGGCTAAATTCAACATGCAGAAGATAGGACTTTAAACAGAAATATTACTAAAAAATGAAGTAATGCAGCTCAGCGAAATTCCTTTTAAATGTAATGGTCCTTGTCTGAAGCAAGTTAAAGCACTTAAATATGTAGGAAGTATATTCTTGGAGGACGGAAGAATAGATTGGGAAATAGAAACAAGATGCCAACGAGCCAGTGCACTTATATACCAATTGACACCGTTTATCAGACATCCAAACATAAGTATTAGCGCCAAGAAACAGATTATAAACAGTATATTCACACCAATACTGTGCTACCAGTGCCCGAAAAAACGCCCTCAACTTACCCATCCAAGACACAAGTTACATGTCATATTATTAGACAGACTGTAGGAACAACACCATGCAGCAAATTCATTGAGAAACAGATGATAACAACTACCAACGAAGGCGCTAATCATGAAAGATCTGAAGTGAAAGTAAGAGGCCGCCCTAGAAGAACAAGGACTGATGACATTAAAGAACTTTTACATCGATATGAAAGGACAACAACCATTGCTGCCCATCAAGCAATGGTTCGCAAACTGCCCCCCTCCCCCACCCCAATTTTCCCCCATAACGCTTAACGGCCGCATTGGAAATTGAAGCCAAGATAATGTTTGGTCAGTGCTATCGCTTTAGCAATACAGAGATTAAAAAGCACGGAGAACCTATGGCAAAGCACTAGTAAATTGGTTAAAGTAAAAATCTGGAGATCAGACATTTTTCCTGTGGTAGCTTATGGTTGTGAGTCTTAGACTCTCACTCAGTCACTGAGGAAGAAGATTGGAGCGTTTGAATTAAAATGTAATAGTAATATTCTTAGAATACCATAGATCACGAAGAGGAAAAACATCGACATTCTGAACGAGTTGAACATCAAGGAGAACTGGCTCATAAACAGCATCTTGTCCCGAAAAGTTGAAGTATTTTGGCCACAGCAAGCGGCATAGTGGCTTGGAAAAGACGGTAATGAAAGGTACAGTTTGTGGAAGGCGAGGCAGGAGTCGACCACCGCAAAGATGGATATAAGACATTGAGTATGCATTGGCATTGAAAGCACATGGGACCGGAGAGCTGGCTATGAAAAGGGGTACTTTCAGGCGTGCCGTGAAGAGAGCGACGTTTTGTAAAGAACTTGCTGATTAATGATAATCGCTTTAAAAAAAATATATTTATAGCAAGTGTGCTTCTGGTATACGCCTTTTTTTGGGATCCTCTCCGGTGCTACGGAGTGCTTCCTCATCGTCATCCACATCATTATCATCAACATCATCTTCATCATCCCTATCATCATCCTCTTTTTTTTGCACCTTTAACCTCGAATATATGCTGTCAACGAATTCACTCGAAGTCATCATATTCTTTGCTATTACATGCAGCTCACCCTATGTGCTCTGTGTATTTTTTTTTTACTTCTCTCTACTTTCTCCGTGTGTGCCCCCCCCCCCCCCGCCCCCTGGCTTTATTTCTATGCCCTTGGGAGTTCAAGTGCAAAAACATTCTAATAATATTTTAGTTAAAATTTTCTCGACGTGTCCTGCCCAGAGTCTTTTCTACGCTCTCTTGATTATTTTTTTTTTATTTAGTTCACACTCAAAAGTCAACACTAATAATTCTGTCAAACCATTTAGTGACCTCTTGTCTATTCTGCTCAGGCACCAATTATTGCATTTTTGTAGTTCATTAGTAATTATTATTTTTTTTTTTTTTTCATGTTTTCCCTCTATACAGCAGTACTGATTTAACATTCAAATAATAATAATAATAATATTAATAAAAAAGGTTTAGTATAAGTTTTAAATTCCTTTCGGATCGGAAGGTCGGGGGTTCGCTCCCTAGTGAAGCCCAAAATTTTTCAAAAATGACCTTGGCTCCCAAGTCAACCCAGCCTTGAGTGGGTACCGGATGCAGTCACGGGAAGTAAAGGCGGCCGGCGTGATGCTGACCACATCACCCGTCTTGTGCCGATTGGTCTATAAAAATATAGGTCTAGCCCTATATGCCCTACACGCCTAAAGGCGTGGAAAAGGGTCCTTTACTTTTTTTTTTAAAGCTTCTTTAACTTCCACAAATTTCCTAGTGCTCTTGCTTTTTGTATTTCTGTTTTAATTTGTCTATAAGTTCCCCTATCTGTATTTACATTACTGCATAAATAGGTTTATAACACAACATCTTGGAGGGGAATATCATCATCATCACCAGGTGCCTTGCCGACTGGCGTGGGCGATCATGCCTCTATACAATCTGCGATCTCCTGCAGCATGTATTAGTTCATGTGCTGACACACCTCCATGTCATGCAACAAGACTGTCAAGAATGTTCTCTCGTTGTCTTTCCCTCTATCCCTTCCTCCACAGATCTTTCCAGTGGTCACAACATGTTCCATTTTCCCTCTTCTTAATATATTGCCGAAAATAATGTATGTGATAAGTTGTCTTCGGGCTCCCGCCTCTCTCAAAACCTCCTGGTTGCTCTGTTTTGGCTGTCCAAGTTATTTGAAACATTCTTCTTTAAAACACATCTCTGAAGCCTCAAGAAATTGTTTGGCCTGCCTACCGATTGTCCAGTACTGACAGCCATATGTTAAAACTGGATGCATGTAGCATGCAAGAATTCTTTTTTAAACTCTTAATGTCAAAGATATAATGCATAAGATGTTCTTAATTTGATAAAATGCAGTTTTGCCTGTCCTATTCTGTTTCAAGGGGGATATTACCATGAGAAATTAGATTACTGTTTGCCCGGCTTATATTCATTACGCTTGTCTTTTTCTTACGGATTTTTAGATTTAATTGTTGCTATCTCGCAACACGCATGTTTAATTTATCTTGCAACTGATTCCTATGCGTGGTATAAAAGAGAATTATCACCATCGAAGTCCAGATCATCAAGCTTTTTT